TGGGATATAGGGTTAAACCCCATTGGCCACCAGGCTGCCATGAATTATGATGTTTATGATTATAATGATGCTCATGGTGATGATGATTTTTGTTATGTTGTGTTAATTATGTTTGAGGGTTGTGGAGGAATAAGGTAATCCCCAACCTAAAAGTTGGACAGCCTTGCACACCAGGCCTTGGAAAGGGCTGATTCCTGAACATCGTGGATTCGAATTTGGGCTGCCTCTAACCCTGGCCTAGGTTAAGCTCAAGGCCCTTGTTCCCTTGAATGAACACATCTAACACCACCCTGGTTAATCACAACAATTTAATTTATTTTTTTTATTAATTGCATGTTCAAGTTTTCAATGGATTGATCTAATATGCAATTGCATATCAGGGACTATGATGCTGAAAGTGTGAGACAAGAAGGGGTTGAGAATTTCTACAGGACCAATCACATTAACCAATCTTATGACTTTGTAAGCAACTTGCCAAAAACTTCATTTGACATTCCCATTCTCCCCATTGATGTAAATCGAAATAGAGCTATGTTTTATCGAATCGAGTTCGATCCGTTGCAGGTGAAGAGGATGAGGGAGGAGTATGGAAAATTGAATAAGGTGGAAATGGGCATATGGGAATGCTGTGAACTTCTCAATGATGTTGTTGACGAGAGTGATCCCGACTTGGATGAACCTCAAATTGAACACTTGTTGCAAACAGCTGAAGCTATTAGGAGAGACTATCCCGATGAAGATTGGTTGCACTTGACTGGCCTTATCCATGGTATGTGTTGCTGTTTCACCTTCAATACCATTATTTGAGTTGTGCTAGCTAGGTGTTTGTCACATTATATGTTGCTTAATTAAGCTTTTATCTTTTATATGCGAAACGTACGGTTAGTTAACTTGGCTTTTATGGGTTTTAGATCTTGGGAAGGTTCTTCTTCATCCTAGCTTTGGAGAGCTTCCTCAATGGGCTGTTGTAGGTAAAGACTACTTTTTGTGTATTACAATTTTTACATCAGCAAGTATGCATATCTAATCACTTGTTAAGGTCAACATATTTCATAGCAAAATTACTGATGAAATTTACTATAACAGGCGACACATTTCCGGTGGGATGTGCTTTTGATGAATCCATCGTACATCACAAGGTACTTATATGTAGAACTTTGCGTTTTACTTGAAGAAAATACGTTTAGAAGAAAATCTTCACTTGAATTAGTTAGTTCTCTGTGGAATTCCTAATCATTTGTGGCTGTTGGTACAGTACTTTAAGGAAAATCCGGATTACAATAACCCTGCTTACAGCACTAAATATGGAGTTTATTCTGAAGGTTGTGGATTCAACAATGTTATGATGTCGTGGGGGCATGATGACTACATGTATCTGGTACTACTTTCTGTCCTCTTCCAAGTTGTCTCCCTTCTACAACTATGCTTGAAATTAAGTAATGTCGGTTGAATGAAAAAATGAAAACCTAGTGTACGAGACACCCATAGTGACGTGGTCGTTGGAGGACTGCAACTGCAACAATTTCAAGTTATGTGACTACATTTTCAGGTGGCCAAGGAGAATAACACAACCCTGCCATCAGCTGCTCTTTTCATCATCAGATACCACTCTTTTTATGGTATGTGAAGAGGTGTTGTCTTAAAAACCTTCGATTATGCACAAGAATACAGTCATAAATAGATTATTTTCAAGATAGCCTTATTGGGTTGATTTTGATGAAACCTTTTCACGTTGCAGCTTTACATAGGTCAGGAGCATATAAGCATTTGATGAACGAGGAAGACACAGAGAACCTCAAATGGCTCCAAATATTCAAGTAAGAGTATTCATTTCCATCTCCATGAAAATTTAGGAATTTTTTTTTAGATGTTATCTCATAACTTTAACAAAATTTTAACTCCTTTGTGTGTGTGTGCAGCAAATTTGACCTTTACAGCAAGAGCAAAGTTCGAATTGACGTTGAGAAGGTCAAGCCATACTATCTCTCTTTAATCGAAAAGGTGAGTACTATATAGTGACAACTTTCTTGAATTATGTCTTTGCTTGTTGAAGTTATCCAAGGTTTTCATGAAGGAAAGAGAAAAGGAATATAACTGGAATAACTTTATAAAGAACGATTGAAATGACAAACATCGTTTCCATTTTCATCTAAAAGAATTTGTGGCTTGATCTAGACACTTGTATTAATAACAAATATCACTTTAGTACAAACATTATTGCCAACAAAACAGATTGATATCGTATTTCAGCATGGTACTTGTCTTTTTTTCTTATTCATGCACATTTTTATGCATAGTTTTTTTTTTTTGTTTCTAAATGTATTTTATATGTTTGTTGCAGTACTTCCCTGCAAAACTAAGGTGGTGAAAAATCGAAGCGTACGAGTTTGGATGACTCCAGAAATATATAGTGGTGACTAGTGCTAGAAGTGGGTTGTAGAGTTTTGAGATCAAGTGGCCTATGGAGGATTTGGATGCATTTTTATGTTTTGTGCTGTTAGTTTGATGGGTGTTTCAAGTAGTAGTGGTCTAGTCCTGAAGAATATTGTTTCTATGAATAATAATATCGTCCTCCTTTTGGAAATATCTTGTGTTCCAGCTTTAGTGATGCTCTTTATTAACTAGGTATTCAACATTTTAATGTACTCGTTTAAATGTCTTGTTTCGTAAGGAGGATTTAAAACTTCTTAAAGATCTAATAGCCATTTGATTCTTTCTTTTTTTTTTTTTTTTTTAGTATTACGTTCAAGAATTTTCATGTTAGTTTACGTTCACTTCAACTAATCACTTTTCAGATTCAGTCAAAGACAGACTAGTTACTTCGGGATTAAATAATTTATAAGGAAATTGTTTAGTTATGAAATCAAAAACTCAGAATGTCTAAAGAATTGTCAAATTCTGTACTCAGAGAGTATGAAGTTATTTTCCAAGAAATACACCAACTGATGTCTTTTCAAAACCAACCTTAGAAAGCAATAAGGCCACTAGCAGGGTAAGTCGATGGTTAGTTTCCGGCCATTATACAAATTCAGTCAAGCAAAACCCTACCTTGATTGAGTGTGAAAAAGAAAGAACCCCAACCAAGACCAAGGAAAAAAAAAATTAGAGTAAACCCCAACCAGACCAATTCAAGCAACGCGGCAATAATGCGTAATCATGAGTTCAATTACTTGCCCAAACACCTTATCTANCAACTAATCACTTCTCAGATTCAGTCAAAGACAGACTAGTTATTTCGGGATTAAATAATTTATAAGGAAATTGTCTAGTTATGAACTCAAAAATTCAGAATGTCTAAAGAATTTTCAAATTCTGTACTCAGAAATTTTCCAAGAAATAGACTTTGCTCCTAAATGAGCATCCACAATCACACACACCGACTGATGTCTTTTCAAAACCAACCTTAGAAAGCAACAAGGCCACTAGCAGGGTAAGTCGATGGTTAGTTTCCGGCCATTATACAAATTCAGTCAAGCAAAACCCAACCTTGATTGAGTGTGAAAAAGAAAGAACCCCAACCAAGACCAAGGAAAACAAAAAAAAAAATTAAAGTAAACCCCAACCAAACCAATTCAAACAACGCGGCAATAATGCGTAATCATGAGTTCAATTACTTGCCCAAACACCTTATCTATTCATATAAATATGGGTTTTTAGGATGACAAGATCATCTTAAGATACCTGTCATTGTTTGATAAGCAATGGCAAGTAATTGTCTAAGATCTTTTCTGGTCACTGTTATCATCTTCATTGTGTTTCTGGCTCCTTTCTTACTATGCAATGCAACGGGATTAACTTCTCGAAGTAAATCTCTCCACCAAAAAAATCAAAATTTTAATTTGTTTCTGTCATTTAGATATCTATGGAAATTTAAACGAGTTGATGGTTGAAAATGAAATTTTAGATTGCGTTTGGTAACCTGTTATTTATGTTTTTTTTTTTCAATTTTTGCCAAAATAAAAATAAAAATATGTTTGTAATGTGTTTCTATTTTTTTTATAGAAATATTGTTTTTAAAAACAAGGCAAAAAAATAAAAACACAAAAAAGACATTTTCATGAACACCTAAAAAACAAAAACACGTGGGACTTCATTTTGGGATTATTGAGATCTTAACTTCAATTCTCTATGACAACAAAAAAATAAAATTTCTTCCTTGAGTATTAAAAACCCCCACCCCTTTNTTTTCAATTTTTGCCAAAATAAAAATAAAAATATGTTTGTAAGGTGTTTCTATTTTTTTTATAGAAATATTGTTTTTAAAAACAAGGCAAAAAAATAAAAACACAAAAAAGACATTTTCATGAACACCTAAAAAACAAAAACACGTGGGACTTCATTTTGGGATTATTGAGATCTTAACTTCAATTCTCTATGACAACAAAAAAATAAAATTTCTTCCTTGAGTATTAAAAACCCCCACCCCTTTCACTTCCTCTTTTTCTCGTCTCCCTCTTTGCATCTCTCTCTCGCCTCTATTTGATTTTTTTGGTGGTTGGGTGGTGGGTTTTCAGGAGTCGNATGCGCGCACATGCACACATATCAGTAAACTAAAGGAGTGCCTCTGACTTTTGAATTGCAACAAAGAAGTCGAGAGCTAGACGCCAAAGAGATGTATCCTAGCATATATCCCAAGTGCGATGGACGAGTACCCGCTCAAGCTCAAGTTCAACGAATTCAAGATAAGGTCTTTTATTAGTAGGGCTCGCGAAGGACTTTCTAAGCTTTAACTGAAGATAAGGCTTCACTAATNCGGATGGTGGGTTTTGCAGGGGTGTTGGGTTTGGGTTGTTGGTGGTGGTGGGTTTTGGTGTGTTGAGTGATGGGTTTTTTGTGCGTTGGGTTGTGGGTTTTATAAGGTGTTGGGTGGTGAATTTTTGATATAATATTAAACATGTTTTTTATTTTTATTTTTATAATTTTTTAAATATAAACAATTTTTTAGTTTTTATTACAGGAAAAACAAAAATTATTTATGTTTTTTATTTTTGCAAAAACACAAAAATAAAAACGTTATCGACCGCACTCTAATGTTTTGGAATCAATTTTTAAATTTCCTCCATTTGTAAGCTAATTGAAACTACCAATAACAAGATTTTGATGCTTGCTGTTCTCCTTCACCAATATTTTTGTTGCTGACCTTTAGAATCGCCTCTGGATTTCAATTTGAATCTTCATTTTGATTTCTTTATTTCTTTCTTGTGCTGCAGAACTCAGGCAGAAGCCCATATGTCCACCTTGTGTATGCTGCCACTCTTCGCCACCACCCCCATGTCGCTATTGCGCCTGTCCTGTTCTACCATGAGGCACAGGAACGTTCGGTCTAAGGAATTCTGAAACCTATTCAGCAGAATGGTATATAAATTGACAGAAATACATAATGAATAATGGAGTGTAACTGTTGTTTCACTATGGCCTTTCAATACAATCCCAGGATGTCCCTATGTTAAAGTTAACTACGGTTTCTCAATTTCCTATCGACATCTTTTTATGTTTGTTATCCAATATCAGTGTATCTAACAAATAAGTAATTATAACCAACAAGCTAAAATTGCTTGTTTTGTCATTTTTTTGTGCAAAAACAAGAAAAGATCACCAAATGAAGCCCAAGATTAGTACACAGCCTACCATTAAACCAGAGGAATTCAATGGTTTGGTTCATTCAGCGCGAAATATGATGATGCAACCACATATGGTTGTCCACATTCAACTGAATATTCAAAATTATCCTCCAAGAGCATTCTAGCCTTATATGGTTTTTTATTTATTTTTTAATTCTGATCTCTCTCTCTCTCTCTCTCTCATGCGGGCACATGCACACATATCAGTAAACTAAAGGAGTGCCTCTGACTTTTGAATTGCAACAAAGAAGTCGAGATCTAGACGCCAAAGAGATGTATCCTAGCATATATCCTAAGTGCGATGGACGAGTACCCGCTCAAGCTCAAGTTCAACGAATTCAAGATAAGGTCTTTTATTAGTAGGGCTCGCGAAGGACTTTCTAAGCTTTAACTGAAGATAAGGCTTCACTAATGATATCCCAGGATAAATTATTCATTCCCCGAAGAATTTTTCTTTTCAATAAGGCACCCTGGTCAAACTCTCACAAAAAAATGTAAGATTTCCCTTCCTGATCCTATCCTCTGAATCCAAACCTTGAATTCAAACAGGGAAGCTGTATAACCTCACAACCTGCATATAAATATCCTTTATTGATCATCTCATGAGTTTATCTAGTAAACTGTTTGATAAGCAATGACAAGAAATTCTGTGAGGTCTGTTCTTCTAACTCTTGTCATCTGTTTTATCATCCTTCTATCACCTGTGTCACTAGGCAGTGCAACTCAATCATCGTCTCATTGCGGTTAATTCCACCGACAAACTACTATGTGTTTATTTCAATCTTCAATGACCAACTTTTGTATTTTTAATTTTGCTTCGTCTGGGATTAACTTCTCCACTTGTTCAGAGACCCTGTTTTCTGGTTGTCTATGTTATGAACCTGCACCATCACCCCTTGCTGCCGTTGCGATTGTGCTAATCCATGAGCCATTCCTCGTTCGAGTTCGGGGTTTTTCAATGCATGAACCAAATATGTTATAAAGATGGAGCACAAATATCATTATTGCTGCTACTTGTACTGTTTTCTTGTGATCAATTTGAATGATTTTCAGTAAGTTGGATGAGGACATCCACTGTTGTAAATTTATTTAATAAATTCTGAAGTTAGGGAAAACTAATTCCTTGCACAAGGTTAATTTCTTTAAAACAAAGACCCAAGAAATACCAATTTGTGTCTCTAAAGTTTCATGTTCAATCCGCAATCTATCTGATTATACACTGAATTATGGGTAAAATCGGTGTTTTCTAGATGATGTTGTTATGTGCAAATCCTATACCTTTCCTTAAGTTTTCAAAAAAAAAAAAAAAATTTCTGGAAGTTAATTAAATTAGTTTATTCAAAAACTCTAATTAATGACTTGATATTTAATAACAAAATAGAGATATTATTTACATGAATTAATGTTTCTCTTTATACAGTAAGACATGTTTTTATGAGTCTTAAAATCCAAGATAACAAAAAAAAAGGGAAGCTTTTGGTTACATACATGAGATATATCATAATAATAAATTGTCATAACTATTTTTTATAATGGTATCACGTGTAAGTAATATTTACGATAATAATTAATTTGTGGTCATTGTATCATATAATGAAATATAGAATAAATGGACCATAACATTGTCATAAGTTAATTTTACGTTGCCAAGTAAGAATCAATTTTTAGATTTCATATCCGAAGCTAATTTTTGCAATTTTGTAAGTTCTATAAAAGCAAAAATTTGGCATTAAAAATAACGTGTTCAATACTTTCATAGTATAAATTTTTTACTAATAGTGCTCGAAAATGCTAGCCCAAGTTCCGAACCATGGCCAGTTGCTCCAGAGGGATTGCAGAGTAAATATAAAAACTAGAAATGGGTAGAACAGTAAAGGGAAATCCAGAACGTAATGTAAGTGGTTCACTTTAGCTGAAGGATTAAGGTTACGTCCACTATAAAGAAATCTCTTACTCCTTGGGGTTGTATATTATTTGATTTTTGGTGAGTACAATGGTATAGTTGGCTCAGGGCCTTTATAAGAACAATGTTCAAATAAGCTAGATTGTGTTGATGACTCGGGAGAGCAATGAGGAAGATGATGATCTACTGTAATGTAGTAGTGTCCTATTTATCCAAGTGATCCTTCTAGGATTTCATACAACTCCTTCTTCCTTTCTGTTCTGTGGGCCCTTCCACTTTTGTACTGTAGTGATCTCTGCCACACGACACCATGTGCCCACAATCTTTGAACGGTTATACGCACCAATACTCTCTGTACTAGGGAGTGCGTGTTCATTATAAATGTCAGAAGTGATCTCCTTGTCCTTAGGACACATGGCACAACGGGGTATTTCAGGATAGGTATTGGACCAAGCTCCTCTATCCCGAGCTGACATTCAGCTAAGTTAGACTGGGACTAGGCTAGTGTGAGACCCGAGAAAACTAATGAGGCATTTTATTTTATGTCAGGGGTTTAGATACAAGTATTTATTTTAGTCATCATATATAAAATTAAAATAGTTGATAACACCAATATATATATATATATTTTCTTGTTTCAGATTGATAAATCAAATTTTAGGGACGAAATTCCTAAAGAGGAAAAAATTTTAAAAACCAAACAAACATAACAAACATGTGATATGACTTTATTATTTTATGTACATTAATGCATGTAGAATTAATTGGGTGGCAAGCATGTGACATTAAATTATTGTTATTAAAGTAAAATGAGTTAGTATTAAGGGTTTGAAATACGAATTTAATAGATTATCAATATTTTGGCATATATACATATACATATATACATGTCTATGTATAAATATGCATACAAAGAAAATGTGGGTATATGCATACAGTACATATATATATGTGTGTGTGTGTGTGTGTGTGACACCCCAAAATCCTCATGTTTGTAATTACCCGATTGATCACCTATCAACCCGCGGAATACCCGTAGATGCTATGTAATTTGATATCACGTCGTTATGTCCTATTTACCGAGATCCATAACTTAACAAAATTTGGGCAGAAGTCTCCTTTATATGATAAGCTCTATCCAAAACGTAACATGTACAATATTGACCACATCGGGTCTATCCATCCATTCACAATTGTATAATATCGAATACTACCATAATCATCATTATTATGTACATTCATTCATAAAAGAATAAATGTTGCAAAAGAGTCCCTTATACATGTCTTTTAAATATAAACAAGTTTTTGTTACAAAAATTACGCAAGGCCAAAAATAAATATAAATAAGGGACTACGATGTCAAAAGAAGAGCCACAGACAGGCTCTATCGTCAAAGCGGGCCCATGGCCTCGCCTTCGGTGGACGCTTGTGCAATACCTGAAAAGTGTTCTCATAAAGGGTGAGTCAACGCTCAATAGGATAACTCCTATAGAGAATACCTCTCAACCTAAATGTATATGAAATGTCACATACAACAATCATTTCATGCAATCATTCAAATATGTCTATTATGAACAAATGTCATAAATCATATCATGCCATGAGATGAGACTCACGAACACAATACCAACATTGAGCCCCATCTTGAGCTCCTATAACACATGCAATGTCATGCGTATGTATATGGACAATCTGAGCCCCGTCATTAGTGTTATGTACACTCAATGACTAATTAATTTATTTTCTTGCATCTTTGTGGGGAGATGATTTATGGTATTACACCAATGAGACACCAACCATCAACAGATTCTCAGGATATCCCACCTGCGACTCTGTTTTGGCCGTTACACTTTTCTGGAATTTCACCGCCGAAAAGTGTATAAACCAAGTAAGCGGGTCTTGCACCCGAGAGAGAATCTAGTCATTCTTGCTATCCTTGACACGTTTATCCATTTAATTTTCCGTGTTACTCAGTTGGACCTTGGTGCGACTTTTCTGAGCCCACAATCAATCACCTATGTGGTGATTGATTTCATCTCATGCACACACTCTCACCCATGTCAATGCCCATGAAAGTAATGTAACTCATGCATAATGACATTTCAATGTGCAATTGCCTTTGATACCATTTACAATGTCCATTACATAAATAATACAATATAATGACATTTTCAACATGGTAACATATTTATCCATTCTATAAACATAAACACATGTCCACAACAAATAATTATATGCTAAATAATCATTTAACCTACATATTATTCCATAATCACATAACAAGCTAATAATTTCATTAAACTTGATATGTCATTTAAAACATAAAATAATACTAATGTACAATTAATATGTTTTAAACCACTAACATTAACTTACACCAAAGTAATTATATAGGATTTTTCTAATTACAAAGTTAATTATAAATCATATATTTGACCCACTAGTTACACTAGTCAATACCTAACATTTGATATACACACATAACCTACCCATTTCATATGTCATATTTTAGGTTGAAAGTAAATCTAAATAAGGGAAACCCTACTTCTCATAGCGTGAGCCCACGTACTGGAATTCCAAGGAAGCCCAATTTAACTTCTTAAACTTTAGGCCTAGATTATCGTCTTTGATATTCTTTCGGAGAAAAATACGATATTTTGTGTGGTTGCGTAGCTCTTGCTGAGTAGAGCAACTTTAATTCTTGGCCCAAAATGATTAAATTATTCAATCTTCGTAGATCTGAACAAGAAAAAATGAGGAAAATAAAGAAAAAAAACTCTTTTCTCTCTCTTACTCACTCGGCAGCCGGCGGGAGGAAGAAAAAGTATAAATTTATATATATAGAGTATAAATTTATAGTTTAAAATTTTACATTTTTGACCCTTATATTTATAATTAATTATTATTTTACCCCTATTTTTAATAATAATAATAATTTTTTTTTCTGGGTTTTACAGTGTGTGTGTGTGTGTGTTAGGAAAGGTGCATGTATATATATATGTATATGCTAGGACAGGTGCAAGTAATATATATATATATATATATATATATATATATAGGTAATGATGGAGGTACTCCACTTTAGCAAGACATGTCTTGGATGCAAAAAAATATTATAAAAATACTAAACAAGAGAAGGAGTCTTTCTTACACTTGGGCAAAACAAAGTAGTCTTACTTACCCTTAGGCATTTTTGGCAAGAGCAAGAACCAAAAGGAAAGGATGAAGAAGGAAAGAAGAGAAAAAAAAGAAGAAGAAGAAGAAGAAAAGGGTGGGTGCAAAGGTAAAAATTATAATTCATTTTCTTCTTCTAAGATGTAGAAATCCAACTCTAGTATTTATATTTTGAGTGTTGCATGTATTTAACGTATGATATCTTGTATGTATTTGGGTGTTGTGTATATATTAAAGTACGATGTTTAATATGAATTTTAGCTAATGTATGAAGAGTTTACCTTAATATTTATGTGGGTGTGTAAGTGAAGTTAAGGTTGTTGCATGAAAAATAAAAGAGTGGAATTGTTGTAGTAGGTGCACTACCCTACAATTTTTTGTGATAAATTATTAGACTTTTAAACATATGTTTTTACAATGGTTATTGTTAGGAATAATTAATTGATCGGGGACACATGGTACATTACGAGAGTCGTTTAAATAATGAGAGAGGATTACGTGATTTCAATGGTCTAAGTAACATGAAATATTTATATGGCTTGAGTTGTTTATGTGACGAGATTTGATTATGTGGTGGAGTCGTCTAAGTAACGTGATCAAAAACTCTTTGTGATGTGGGTCATCTGAAGGAAAACTATTAATGTGGTTTGGGTTGTCTCATTGATAAATGATATCTATGAGGTGATACAAGCTTGCGATACATGTGGCCTATGTGGCACAAGAATTTGTACAACTAAAAATAGCATGTGTGGCAGTTGTTGTTTACAAGACGATTAGTTTGTGTGCGTGTAGGGTATTCATTGTGAGGAATAATTTAATTATGTGGAAGTAAATATATGTGTTGTATATTTTGTCAATGTAATATATACAGGTTATGTCTAGGCGATGTAAACGAATGTGTATGAGGTGAAGTGTAATTTGAAAGTAAGTATCTAATTCATGATTAAGGTTGTTTCTAAATAAATAAAGTTTCCTTTATCACTTATTGTGCTCTTAAATATTAATTGTATCTTTGCTTTTACTAATGGTTTTAATGACTTTTCAAGAAAAATCATAATGACATGAGGAGTCCACTGTCGAGTCTAGAGGGTCGATTGGGATGTCATCATGGGGTTCATTTTTATTTGTCCTTTAAATTTAAATTGTATTATTTTATGTCATATTTTTTAGATCAATATTACGGTCTGTAAACAAGCAGGGCTCATGGCAAGCCATACCACTAAGGGGTTTGATGTATTTTTTTTTATATGCTTATTTTTACATAAAGAAAGGTGTATGACAAAAAAAAAAAAGAAACAGGGATTACAAATATTATACGCCGGGTTGGGGTGTTACAGCTGGAGTCTAGGTTCTTTAATGCTGTTAGGCCTTTCCCTTTGGGCTCAATCTACTCTACTCTTGGTGTGGACAGGTTGTGGGCATTCTATTTGGGCCATTACACAACCAAGGGTTTTCTAAACTTATTGGGCTCTTTAATTATTTTAACGCCCCGATTTTTCTCTTTTTTTTGGAGACGTTAATTGATATAAAAAAATCTAAATAAAAATAACAGAGCGTTAATTATCCCAATAAAATTTCATCTATCAAAATCATCTCTCAATGCAAATAAATCTGTCAATATAAATAAATCTCTCAACATGATTAAAGCATCAGTTACATCGACATCTCCTCGTCTTTAATACTCTGATTATCTTGTTTTGATCTTTTCTCTAAAATCAATCTGAAAATATTAAATAAAGCAGAAAAATATACAATATAACGAGAAAAAATATGCTCAAAAACATTGAATAACAAATAATCGAGTATCACAAAGTATTTCAATCAACAGATACAAATATCAAATTTGCATATCACACGTCATGCAGAATCTTAACACAGATCTGACACCTCTCCAATTATCCCACATCAATCCGATCTCACGAGTCTCTTGGCTAGTGATGCATCGGTTATTGGTTACCACGATCCCGTCTCAATATCCACAGAACACGATCAATAAGATTAAGAACACGATCAATGAGATCAAAATATTCAACGATATTCAATCGAAATTCTAAAATAACGATAGTACAAGTTGGAATACAAATCAGAGGAGAATCAACGAAATACTCATTGCAAAGAGATTTAAATATTTCTCAAAACTATTTATATTAAATTTTTTCCCTAAAATCTATCACTTCTCACATACATTACACTGTGTCTGTAGACACGGTTATTCCTAATGAGCAATGCTACATGGACTTAAAAAGTAGACTTAAAAATTAGACTTGATAATTAGAACCATTGATTTCACTGTGAGTCCCAGCATTTATTGAGACTCACTACTTATTTAATAGTTGAGATTATCAAGTCTAATTTTTAAGTTTAATTTTTAAGTTCATCTAGCATTACTCTATCCCTAATTATCCATATAAAAGACGACAACTAATCTCCATATATGCATTCTAAAACCACCCTTTTCCATCTCTAGCTAACAAGAATTTCTCCCAACACCATAAAGTTCTATGTGTGGTCAGCTCACTTTCTCTCCTCAAGCAGGGTCGGAACCCAAACTGAGATGATCCACCTGTGGGAGAAAACAATCTGCATGTTAGAAACTGTATCCTAAACCCTAAATCCTAAACCGTAAATAATGGCTTCAGTTGTTATATTGTGGTTGATGTTCAGTATGGTGATGATGAGTACCTCTGGGAACTTGGAAGTAGCTGTTGCAACAAATGATGATTACATCACAAAGGCCTTCATAGCAGATGGTGATATTCAGCATGCACAAACCAGAAGGAAACTAATAGACAACAACTCCGGTAAAAGTACAAATTGATCGATCATTTTGGAAATTTTGCCATCCTTATGTGTTGCTCATGATCTTTTGCATTTTGCTCTCTTTTCCCCCCTTTGTTCCCAGTATCTTTTCACCAAATTTACGAGTTTGAATCACCAGGAATGATGACCTTGAAATGTCTGGAGACGCCACTTTGAAGAAATATTTTTGTTTAACGAATCCTACGACATAAGGATAAGATACCATTGTTCTTATTCTAGCACGTAGTTTGCCTTTTTACTTCAAATTTTCTAATATGTTTTTAGTTCTATTGTTGTACAACCACATATGATGTTTGTTCATAATCTCTCTCTCTCTCTCCCCCTTCCCCATCTTTCTGTGTCATCTCCCTTCTCTCTCCTCCCCTTCCCCAGCTATAAGAAAAAGAGCAATGCTACAAAACTTGCTCTGGCACCGACACTGAGAAGACAAACCTTTGCATAACTAGTTTCATTCTCTCTATCTAACTCCTATGCAAATAATTTTTTCAAGGTTTCATAAGCATAGACTGTGGTGAGTCAGAAGATTACACCGATCCATCCAGCGGTATATTTTACCAGACAGATGCAGAATTCATTGGTACTGGAAAAAACAAGCAGATATCGTCAGAATCAATGACTCTTGCACCTAAAGATCAACGATCAAAGAACTTGAGAAGTTTTGACGAAGGAATAAAGAACTGTTACACCCTGCGAAAACCTAGCCAAGGCAAAGACGATAAGTACCTGTTAAGAGGTTCCTTCATGTATGGGAATTACGACGGCAAAAATGAGATTCCGAAATTTGACCTGTATCTTGGTGTTAATTTCTGGGTGACGGTGGAGCTGGAGAAGGTACTGTCGTACTTCTATGAAGAGATTATATTTGTTCCGGCGACGGATTTGATATATGTGTGCCTTGTAAACACTGGTTCTGGAATTCCGTTCATATCTGCGTTGGAACTGAGGCTGTTGGACAATCCCATTTATGCTGAGTTGGGACCGAGTCTACAAACCGCACACCGATATGATGTTGGATCTAACCAGTCAGTCAGGTGAATAGCATTTGCTATNTCGAAAACCGATATAATGTTGGATCTAACCAGTCAGTCAGGTGAATAGCATTTGCTATCTTTATCATTCTCTCTGCATGTCGGTTTTTCCTTTTACCTGCAATTGGTTAGGAAGAAGAAACCAATGGGGGAAAATAAAAATGATAGAATGTAAAATGAAAGGAAATAAATTAAAAAAAAAAATATTTTCATACGTACATTTGATTAGTATGAAAGATTTAGGAGAAAATATAAAAAAAAAATTTCATTATTTGAAAGAAATAAAAGTTATAAAATTTTCTTTTCTAATTTCTTAAATTATCCTTAATTATATTAAATTGGTCTAAAAAAAATAAAATATATTATAATTAAAAATTAAAAATTTTAAAAAAAGTGACTCGTAATATAATTATGGGGGCAAGCACCATCACAAACGTCTCTAGGTCAAAATATATGATTAACTAAATTCATATCAAGTTTTTAAAAAATTAATAATCAATAAAATATTTTTTAAAAAATAAGGGTAAAATAAAAAATTAGTTTTAGATCACAATTTTCTTGTATTTTCTTATGTTTTTTATACAAAAAAAAAATTTAGTTAATTGTGAGAAAATCTAAGTATAAAAGAAAATTATTTTTTCCATCATTTTTCATTTCATGCTAACCAAACACATAAAAATTTTAAAAAATTCTCTTTTTTGTACTTTCTACCATAACCTTATTAAACAACCCGACCCTTAGAAAAATACTATGCTTAGTAAATTTTTTGCCCAATCTTACGTTTTAAATGACGTGACACAAAACATTATGAATTTACCACATGTGGTAGTGGCATATGGTGTGTGTACTCAATAAAAAATAAACTCTAAAAGATAACTTAACTAATAATAATAGAGTCAATGTATAAATTCAAACATCTTAAATTTAAATTTTAACAATTCCTCCTCTTAAATTCAAATCTTCACAATCTCTTGAGCGACGCTATGAAAATTTATTCCTGTAGTTGGATGACCAACATACTAAAATTCAATATGAGTCTATGTGACATGTTTTACCTAGTTTGTATTAGGGGTGTCTAACGTGTCGAGTTAAACGGTTACGTGTCAGATTAAACAAGTGACGGGTGGAAAATATATAAATCTGTACATGACACGTTTAATAAACGGGTAAAAAATCTCAACATAAACACGACCTGTTTAATAAACGAATAATACGACACAACTCGTTTAACCCGTTTAATTTTAAACAAATTATATTAACAAATTTTAATACTCCAATTTTTTTTGTTGTCAATTGCACTTACCTCAAAAAAAAAAAATTTTTAGTCAAATATCATAAAAATAAGACTTGAAGGCTTAAAAAAAAAGAAGTAAGAGGTCATTACTTTTTATAGGCAATTCAACTCTCCCCATCTCCTCTCATTTTTTAGTGTGGGACAACAACAAAAGACATTGGTTTGTCTTAGTCTTTGAAGTGCTTCTCATCTCCTCTCTTTTGTGTTTGAACTATTACTTTATTTTTTTTTATTGATTTCTTTACTTTTTTTTTTTCTTGTTAAAATTTTAAAATAATTATTAATTTATTATTATATTAATTTTATTTAAACGAAAAAATGTGCGATAAACGGTTTGACAGGTCTCACTCAAATACGGCCTATTTATTATGATCGCATCTGGAATCCTACTACAGAATTCGATGGTTATTATCCAATCAAAGTCCAAGACCAAAGGGTCATCGACACGCAGAATGGCGCAACAGCTTATAACCCTCCGGCGAAAGTATTCAGCACAGCGATCAAGGCACAATCTGCAAGTGATGCCATAGAGTATACATGGAATCCTATAGATCCCAATTCTGATACTTATGTCTATCTTCACTTTGCTGAAATTGAGCCTCTACCAAATGCAACGCAGCGGAAGCTCTATATTTCTTTAAATGGTGATCCTTACCGAGGTGAACAACCTATTAAACTCGAATACCTAAAGGCAATCACCGTAACTACCTCAAAATGGCCAATCAAAGGTGCCCAACTTAATTACCTCCCATCCTTAATGGCTTGGAAATTCTTCAGGCGAAGAGCCTCCTTCTTTTGCTGACAAATCAAGAAGATGGTATGTTTTCATTTTTATAATTTTTACCCTTTTCAACTTTTTTTCAGTTTCTGAAAATTGTTTCACTTACCATGTCACTGACTTTTGAAGCAACCCACCACCATAGAAAAGTTTGGTATTTCATATTTGAGAGAGCAAATTTTGTGCAAAAGAAAATAAACGTTGGGTTTTTAAAAAGCTGTTTAGCAATTCATTTTCTCTTTGAGATTTGTGTTTGGAGTCTTGAGATCCTTCTTAGCCCTTGTTAACAACAGTTAATGCCATCATGAACCTTAAGAAGAATGTGACGGCAGAGAAAAAAGATTGGCAAGGAGACCCATGTCTCCCAATCAATTACACATGGCAGGGTTTGCATTGCAGCGATGAAAATGCTCCAAGGATCATCTCATTGTGAGTGCACATCTAAATTCGTAAAGTGTTTCATAAGATATCTGCTCAAATTTGAAACAGTCCACTTCATTATTTTCACTGCGTTGAATACAAATTCCTTATATATTAGTGTAATTATATTGAATTAAATCTACTGTAATCATAACTGTGGATAGATGATTTTAAACTAACTATTGAGCCAATTATTTGGTGAAATGACTCCAGAAATGGATCTTCTAAAATACAGCAAAGAATAAGGCAGAATGATTTCAATTGAATCACTCAGCCAATTGAGTAACCAACAAATGCCCAAAAACTCAAAAGTATCTTGGTGTGAAGTCCTAAACTGTAATTAAGAATGGCTCAAATAATTTCTTACTCGAACAATTGTGTACAGGAACTTGAGCTGAAGCGGACTTTCTGGGGAGATCTCCCCCGTATTCTTCAATTTCAAATCAATACGATCTTTGCAGGTATTTAAAAATCCAAGTATACTTCTTTTGGAGGTGATGAACAATGTGTTGGCAGGCCTGTCAAATTAACCAATTTGGACCTGTCCGTAGTGAATGTGCGGCTTAATATCATGCCATATGACAAGGTTAGGTATTCATTGGAGGCATTTTGTCATTGGAACTAGCAAATAGAAGTAGAGAAATTTTAGTTAGACGCATCCATGATATTATCTTTGAAATAGTGATTTTCGTTATATTGTGGGTCTATCAAAATGACAAAGTGTCATATGTGATGACTTAGATAACCGACGTTCGATTCCCCATTGTTGTACAACAGAAAAAACAGTGATTTTTTGTTTATGACTGCACATGATCATTGTCATGGAACCCAAACCAAAACACAACACGAGAAACAATTGGAAAAGTTAGAACCCAAATGGTCTATTCTGTCATATAAAACGACCACCAGGGGTGGTGCCAATTGGCATCGTATGAAGAGAACATGGGAGTGGCCACACTGTTAAATAACTTGATTATATCAAATTTCATGTGTTAAACCCTTGATCTTTTGCCCCCCCCCCCCCCCCCCCCCCCCCCCCCCCCCCCCCTTCACCCCC